AGCGTGGTGGTGGGGGGGGGGGGGGGGGCGGGGGGAGAGGCATTTTTAGTTGACTCACAATATGCCAGTGCCACTACTCGCATTCCTCTGTGGAAAGAGGAATTCTAGGAATACCGTGTTGCTGATGGAAGCTGTCCTTGGCCATGTCTCTGCTGAGCATCCATCAGTTGAGGTGGAGGAATTTGGTGGGAGGAGGTAGCGGAAAACAGAGCTGGAGCTCTTGAGAGTTGTGTCGTTCCTGGAATTTGCTGCCCAGGGTTTACAAGAACAGGGTCATCTTCATTAAATAGACTGACTTGTTTCCTGCAACGCCCTTTATGTTGAAACTTGGGCTTTTATTTTTTTATGGTGTATTCTGGAAATTCTGGAAAATGGTTTTAATTGACTTTCTCTTGTGGTTTAGCTGCATGTAATACTTGGCAGTTCATTCTCTTCTAAACAGCATTGATCTGGTAATAATTGTTATTGGCTTTTATGTGTTGCCCAAGAGTCCTGTCTTTCTCATTGTCTAATACATACAATAACAGACTTCGAGTATGTTCTGCCAGAACTTGCATAGCATTTGAATGCTTTTGTTGCTCACTGTGATAGTCAGTGGGCTTGGAAATCCAGCATTTCAGGAACAGCATGGAAATGGGACCATATTTTCCCTCTTTATCTGAGAACAAGTACAGTTGGAGCATCTGGAACAGATAGCACAGAAGGTTATATCGCCAGTGACGCATTACAGGTCTTTGGGTTTGTGTTTGTTTGTTTGTTTTTTCTTCTCCTTTGCAGGAGCTGAAGGCTCTGGTGGCCCAGCACAATGTGAATGCGTCTCAGCACCCTGGCAGTTCCCGCGCCTGTCTCCCAGGCAGCCTCCCCTCCAGCCAAAGCCAGCGCAAGTACCACTTGGAAAAGGTTTTTTTGGTGTCTCAGACTGGGAACTGCAGAGTAATGGCATACTGTGACTCGCTGAGTTGTCTCGTCGTATCACAGCCTTCTCCACAGTCTACTTTCGTTCCTGGTAATTAAGCAAGTCAAGATTTGGGGGTTCATAGGTTTTACTTCCTCCTTGCTCCTCGCTTCTCTGCTTGACCTTTGCATGTGCCTTGTAAACTGGGAATACTCGTTAGACTCGCTGTAGTTCACGTGGCCCCTGCATTGGTAGCTTCTGCCTAGCGAGGTAGCTCGTTTTCCCTGTCACTTCTATGGCAGAATCCTAGCAGAGAGTCTCTGGCTCTTCCATTGAAGTGCCACATCCGGAAGACGGCAAAAGGTGTGTCTGGTACTCCTTGCAAAGGTGGGTCTTCTGAAAGAACGAGGAACCAGCACACTAGGGCCTGCAGAGAAGCTTCCAGGGCTTGAGTGAGAAACACTGCTCCCAAATTGTAGGTGGATTGATCCACATGCAGCTGATTTGTCGATACTCTTTTGGGGAAAAAAAAAAAGACTAGAAGCAAAAAAACTTTTCATATGAATGATAGGAGCAGTGTTTCCTAGTGAGGAAATAGGAGGCCCAGGTCATGGGCAACCCTGGTTTTGTCTCACTGTTATGGCCAGGGGCAGGTGATGTGACATCTGGACCAGCGCCAACTTGCTTTTTCAATGAAACAGATGTAGCATTAGGAGTCCGAGAGAGTTTATTTGGAAAGTACTTCAATGCTTTCTGACTGATGAAACTTACTTTATTGGGTTAATGGTTTTGAGATTAATAGGCCTTATCTAGGCTTAACAAAATGGTTTTCTGCCTTCAACTGACCTTAGTTTTTCTGGCTTTTGGAGCCAGGGAATGAATCTCTGAATGGAGGCTTTGTGGTGACTCTTGTGGCACTCAGGTTAAGTTCACCTGTAACCATTCTTTGCAGTGGTGCTTGTTCTCTTAAATAGCCGTGTAATCCTACTGTGTGTGTTTTTATCTAGGCAAGGATGTCTTTCAAGAAAGTGGCTAAAGAGCAGCAGGCTCTTGTAACAAGAATTGTTAACGCTGATACTGAATTTCCTCTTGCTGGCTGGGATCCTTAAGGATTTAGCCCTGTTGCCGTTTGAACTAAAGAACAATTTGTGGCAGTTCTTATCCAGAACAGCAAATAACTTTTACGTGTTCATCCCCGCCACAGGCTTCAGTACAGATATTGTAGTTCTGGCATAGAATTGCTCATTCTACATGTGTGTTAACCTGTTTTATCCTTCTTCTGTGACAGGTTGTGGCGTTAAGATGATGAGCGTGGCCAATCTGAAGAGCAGTCAGTACATCCCCATCCATAGTAAACAGATTCGGGGACTGGCTTTCGGCAATCGAGCAGATGGCTTGCTGCTCTCTGCTGCTCTGGACAACACTCTCAAACTTACCAGGTAAGCCCTGCTGCGGGGAGCAACCTGTCCCAGCGGAGTTTGACTACATGCAAGAGACTGGCTTGGATATTGTTCTGTCTTGCTAGAAATGTCTTGCAGCACTTGCTATTCTGCTTTCAAAAAGATAAGATCAGGTCTGAATATTCTTTCTGCACGTGGGAACTAACAGAGGGAAAGACTCGTTTGTGCTTTCAGATCTTTTAGGTGGAGGTGTTTTGGAGCTACCTGTCTGATACTTTTCTCATGGAGAACTTGATGGAAAACAAGTAATTCAGCACAAATTGGCCAAGCTGTGTTGGGAACAAATGTAGCATAATGTATAGATGTGAAATTTATTGTCCGCTTGGTTTTCTGTTACTGCAGGGAAATGTGAAACATGAGAACTTGTATGGCATAAAACAGAAACAAGGGGTGTTTAGGTTGGGCGATTTCTTCCCTGCACTAACATTGGCTTCTCTGATTTTAAGCTGCTTGCAGAGCGTGGAATTCATCTGGGCTATGAAATGTGTAGACAGCATTGTTGAGCATGTGCTAGAGGCACACAGGTTCTCTAGAGCTAGAAGAGACTTAAATTAGCAGGTTGGAGACCAATTATGCAGAGGCTGAGAGAAAAATATGTCCAGTCTTGTTAGAATTTACAGCCTATGAGTGTGTTTTCTTGCTACTCTGCCGCTATTCAGTCTTAAGCTTCTTCAAAACTTTGTTGGCCGATTGATTCTTCTTGAGTGATAGTAAGATCTTTATGTACGTCTGTCTGTCAGTATAGGGTTAGGCAAGATGAGTGTCTCTTTTATGACTGATTAGTCCCAATTCTTTCCCACGAGTGAAGCAATGAAGAGAACTTAATCCTGCAACAAAAATATAAAGAATGTTGCTTCCCTGTTACCATGTTAAAATGTTTGCTAAACTACTTAAAAGTAAACAAAACTGTCTGATGCTGAAGTCAGCGTGTCGGATTTCTAACTGATGAGGTTGATGTTCTTGTCATGGTTTAATCTGGAGAGTGGCTTCTCGTCACAGTGTCTGCCCAGACACTTGACTCCCATATCTGCCTCTCACTGCCTGGTTGGCTGCATCGGAATTTGTGATCCTCTTGCTTTTGTGCTTGATCCCCAAATGTCTTGGAGTTAAGCGCTTGCTTCCATGGAATCTTCATACTTCTTTCAGTCTCCTTCTGAAAGAAAAGTCCTCCTTTGGTCATCTTTCTTCTCTAGTTACTGATTTCATGGTCATCCTACCAAACAGAATTATCCAAGATGTCTTTAAGTCTCCTATTCTGACTTGCAAGTGTTTAAAATAGCACCATGACTTTGGGGTTGGGTTTTTTGGTTTTTTTCCCCCCCGTTGTTTTGAACCAGTCACAGTTCTGATATCAAACTCCCTGTTTCCCCAGCCAGGTTTGTCTTTGTGGTTGTTCCCTTTATACTTACCTGCGAGCAATTACTTGCTTCTCTGGAGTTCTGAGCATAATCACCTTCCCCAGGGAGAAACCCACGTGTTGTAAAGGATATCCAGAGTTACTTTGCTGTGTGCTGGTTTTTGTCTCACGCTGTTCTCAATGTGCTAAGCTTGTGTTGATGACGCTGCCCTTTGCAAATATGTTCTAATCTGACATGAACTTCATCTGCTATTCTGGGTTGTGCCCCTCTGTATACTCCCCTCTTCTTCCTTTCACAAATTGAATTTCTAAAGAATGAACACTATAAATGTGCTTTTAACTGTCTTTACCCACCTCACTGTCTCACTCTTGCTTCAATTGGATTCTTTTGAGGCATGAGCACCGTCCCTCTCGTGTAAAAGGAGGGAAATAATTAATAAGAGATGTGATCTGAAGAGAAGAGCGCTGTGATCTCAGGAATAGGTGATATTATGGGATTGCACTAAAGTGACTTCTCCTAATCATTTCCAGAAAAGTAGCTTGGCTTTCTCTTGCCGGTAAGGCCGCTGAGACCCTGCTCTGAGACTTCCTTTCCCAGTCTCCGAAGATCAATCTGGAAAAAGCAGCATTGGTCTGGAAGAATTATAAATCATTTGGCAATACCCAAGTGATTATTCTGTCTAGATTTTCCAGATTCATATCTGGAGTAAGGAGGAGTTAATTCAGCATTCAGTCTAAAAAGAGATGCTTCCATTTAAAGCTGGATTTGCTTACCTTAATTACGCTATTTTCTCATCAGTAGATGCTTGTGCAAAGGGCCAACACTTTGTTTTTCTTCTGCAGCTTGGCAACAAATACTGTGGTGCAGACATACAATACTGGCCGTCCTGTCTGGAGCTGCTGCTGGTGTCTCGATGATACAAACTACATCTACGCTGGATTGGTCAATGGCTCTATCATGATATACGATTTGAGAGACACAAATTCTCACGTCCAGGAACTAGTCCCTCAGAAGTCCAGGTATGGCATAAGGATTTCTCATTCCTCTCAACTTCACTAAAATATGTTAAGCTAAACAAAGCTTCTTCCATAAATCACACAACAATTGTAAGAGTTTAAATTGTTTTATGTGAATATCTTGTTCAAAAATTCAACTTTAGCACAGATATGCAAAGTCTCTCATAAGGTTGCATGGTATATGTGTAACTTAGTATGAGTGCTTGGCACCTGCATCTTTCTAAGGCACACGGTGGTCAGAAATGGATGCGCGGTAGGAGCCTAAGTAGGAGAAATTAATTTTTTTTGGAGCTGGGATTAGTATTTAACGTGGAAAGGAAAAAATCACAAAGAGGTGTGAGATGTTGGTACTTCCATCTCTTCTACTCAGGGATTCAAATGCTGATTTACATGCATCTGATGTGTGCTGTCTGATGCTATTTTAAAACATAAGGCTCAGTAGTTAAGTTGAATTTCATTTATTTTTGACAAACCTATTGGGGTTCCTTGCTTGAAGGATCGTTTTATAGCTTGCTTAGGCCCTTTCTTTGCAGTGTGGTTGGAGAGAACGCCAGCATGGCTGCAGCTGGCAACGCTAACTTTTGCTGATCCCACTTTCAGGTGCCCTATGGTATCGCTGTCCTATCTGCCCCGGATGGCCTCAGCGTCACTACCTTATGGTGGAATATTAGCCGGGACCTTGGAAGGAGCCTGCTTTTGGGAACAGAAAGCTGGCAACTCCTATCGGCCTCATCACCTGCCACTGGAACCCGGCGGGTGCATCGATATTCAAACAGAGATCAGCACACGGCACTGCCTCGCGACCTACAGACCTAGTACGTAACAGCGTACATCTGCAACGCGCTTTTTGTTGCCGCTCTGGCCTGCTGTTTGTCGAGTTCAACAGTAGCTTTGGTGCTGAGGTCCCCTAGCCAGAGCAACGAGCATCTGCACATAGAGAAAAATTGGGTGAGGGCAAAAGGAGGCAGTGCGGGGTGGTGTTGCTTGTATTCCTACAGTTAAAACTTGTCTGCAATTAAATTTTCCAAAGGTTACCTTTTTGGTTTCTGCCACGCAGGTAAAAATAACCCATGTGTGCGTTGTGTGATGATGGAACTGACTTGCAGCCCACTGACAGAGGCTTCTGAAGATGTAGTGTGTTCTTCTAACCCAGTTCAGACTTTCAGTGCTGGACCCACCTGCAAGTTGCTGACCAAGAACGCCATTTTTCAGAGCCCGGAGGAGGACGGCAGCGTCTTTGTGTGTGCTGGTGACGAGGCATCTAATTCTGCCCTGGTATCTCTCGTTCTTTTCAAGTGTGGTGGAGGGTTTTATTGCAATTCTTAGGAGAGAAGCCTGACACAGTCAGTGTGTTTTGGTGGGAATTGTCTCATCATGCAGGTTACCCTGTGCAGGTTGGTCTGTTGTATTTGCTATAGCAGGTGTAATTTTCTGAGCACGTGGGATGCTCGATATTAGCCAAGGCCTGTGGTCCACATCCATCGAAGGGAATGTAGGCAGTTGTCCTCGCTGGCGCAACTGCGCACTGTAAGGGCTGTAACAGACTCGGTGGGATAGCTAATGTGGGAAATGCTGCGAGGGGTGGAGGTGGGCTCTTTAGGAATGACCGGAAAGACAAGGAGAAGCGTTTGCCCTTCATATGAAAAAGCAGCTCAGATGGAGAGGATGGACAAGAGGCTGCATGAGAGCTTGGTCAGGGTTAGGGGAGAGGGCGGTCAGGGTGATGTCGTGCTGCAAGTCTGTTAAAGACCATCCAGGCAGGGTGTGAAAGGAGAGAAAAGGTCTTGTAAGTAACTTGAGGAAAGTCTTTTCTCTAGAGAGAGGAAGCTCTGTTCTGGATGGGAGGGGAGAATCCTGCAGTCTCTGACCTTGTCTGTCCCACAGCTCTGGGATGCTGGAAGTGGCTCCTTGCTGCAGAAGCTGCAGGCTGACCTGCCTGTGTTGGATATTTGCCCCTTGGAAGTGAACCAAACCCACCTCCTGGCTACTCTGACCGAGAAGATGGTGAAGATCTACAAGTGGCAGTGAGAGTGGTCCCTGCTCTTGCCACAGAGAGGCTTTCCAGATAATGCTGTCTACACAACCGCTCCGTCCCAGGCTCTGCTGTCCTGTACCTGCTGCTTACAGGAGACAGGAACCGCTCCAGCACCTTTCTGGCAGTAGGCAGGAGCTGGGATGTGCTGGTGCCTGCAGCAATTCCCTTCTTCCTCCATCTTCTTTTAGGCCTGCCTTTATTTCTTCTTTGGTCCGTTTTCTTCAGTCAAACTCCGCAAGCTGCCTCAGCACAGCAATAATTCTCAGACTGTCTCCAGTGTGTGTTGCTGCACTTTTTTTTTTCCCCAGTGTGAATACAGCACAGGGATTTGCAAATCTCTTCTACGAATCAACAAAATAAGAGGAACTGGAAGACCTGAGATTCCCACTGCGCTTCCTTGTGGAGTCCTGCTGTGATTACTGGGTGATGAAAAGGTGGTGATATTGGCATCTTGCTAGCGTTTCTGATACTCGGTGTAAAAGCAAGGTCGTTGCTTTAGGGAACACGCACCCGTGTTCTTTTGAAGGTCGAGGGTCAGCTGGCAGTTATTCCCTGGTGAGGACAGACCCTGTTTTGTGGCCATGGAGAGAACAGGCTTGAAAAATCTACAGAGAACCTTTCTCTTCTGTGGTTTGGTTGGTTGGTTTTTTTTTTTTTCCACAAGCATATAATTTGCACTATAATTTCTCAATTTGCTGCCCTCATTTCCTCCCCTTGCTTCACCCACAAGCAAATTTGAACAGTTTGGTTGTGGAAAATGAAACTCTGGTACTGGAGAAGTACAGGTAAAGAGGAGGGAGATGATTCTTGTACTGTTAGCTGCTGCAGTCCATGCTGTTCTTCCTTAAAGACAGCAACGTACTGAAACAGCCAGTACCTTGGAAAAGAATGCTGGCTGCTGCTTTTTTTTTTTGGCTTTATTTTTTCCCCTTTGAGGAACTGGTGGGAACTCGGGGATTTTATCAGCTCATTTTCACTGACCTTTTGTCTTTCTGAAATCATAGTTGCCAGCTCACCGGCTGGTCACAGCCAGCTTCCAGTTATGTTTGTGTGCACGCGTGCTGCAGACTCACCGGTTTGTCTAAATTGGAGCCCGTTGGGTGGGATTGCAGGTCAGGGGGTCTGCGCTGGCCAGGTGGGCCCTTAGCACCCTTACCATAAATGTGCTGAGGGGTGTGAGAATGTGTATCTCCAGGTCAGATCATGAAAGAGGACTTAGGTTTCATTTTAATGTTTAACGAAAGCAAACTTTGCAAGGATGTTGGAAGCTGCAAGATGAGTTCCCTGTGCTGGAAACATGTCCCTCGGCACACCACGGCCTCTGGCCGTGGTAAGCAGTGTCTGTCCTGTTTGGATTGAGTGTGTCACCACTTAAACTGCCCAAACAATTTTATTTTCTGAAGCCTAGGGCTTGCACAGTATGATCCTATTTGTCTTCCCTCTTAAAAATGAGATCGAGAAGATCTCTGCTTAACTTTATATTTTTCTGTATAGCATTTTGTTCTTATATTTTTATATATTGTAAAAATAAAGTGTTTATAGTTATCAAATATAACTGGTGCTGCTGTACTTTAACAATATTGTATATCTTGTGAACATAAGCATCCTCGTACGCAGGTAAGGTTTCTCATGCTTTGTATTACTGATGTCAGACTTTTTGGCATTTTAACAATGATCAGGAACAAAGGGTTAGTAGAAATAATAACGTCATGAGGAGGTCTCTGGTAACACCAGCTAAAAACCAGAAGGAGCAGGCTGATGTCTGCCAACTCTAGTGCAACGAGCTGCTTGTTCTCAGCCATTTTGAGGTATCATTTATGCTCAGGCAACTCCGACCTCTTCTTCCCACAATAAATTCGGAAAATTTTAAACATGCTCAGGAAAAGGAATTAAAAGGTCTCTCAGCTTTTGATTTTCTAGGTAGGACTTATTTTCTACTTTATACTGCCCTACCGGAATAAGAGGTACAAACTTAAATGCTATTAAAATAGTAATGGGAGATGAAGCTTTCGTGTTGTCTCGGTTTTCAAAGCCAGAGTTTAAGAAAATTTTCAAAGATTTGTGACGTGAAGAACGTTGTAACACTGTCCTAGTCACAGGTTTGCAGCAGCCTCCAGGAAAGAGCACCTAAATTGTGTTCAGAAAGCCATCAGCATTGAGGGCTGATAAAAGGTCAAATGTGTTAATTAAATATTTGCTCATCTGCGTCTGGAGTCAAAGGGGCAGATTCTGGGACGGAAGGAAGAAAAAAATTCTCTGCACTGTGCAGGGCAGCTGGCATCAGAGGCTGAGCTGTTTCACTGGCGTTTTAGGCAATAAGCTGCTATGTGGATATTTCTGCCGCCGTCTCTGGGAAGATTTTATTATCGCAGAGCAGGGAGGCCCCTTGGCAATTCCTGTAGTAAATCTTGATGTGAGGCGAGAGGTAAAGCCGGGCAGCGCCGTGGCTCCTGCAGACGGGGCCTTGCCCTTAGCTGTGCCCAGGCATTTTTTAAATATTTTTTTCTGCAGGTTGTTGTGCAGGGGAGGCAAGCAGCTTTCCGAATTTTAATTCTTGTACAAACCAAACCTGGGGGACAGCATAGCGTTGGCCGAAGCGGGCTGTGGTGGCAACTTGGCAGGAAACCCAGGGGCCGTGCCGGCGCTGAACACAATCCAGCCGAGGTGCGGGGTCGGGGGGCGGCTGTTGGGGAAGGGGAAGCCGGAGTCGGAGGGAGCCAAGCTTTCTGGAGAAGGGCTGTCCTCCGTCTGTCTCTCTAACGGCGTGAGATCCAGCGTTAGGCTGCGGTGATCTGCGGAGTGAGCAACCATGGGACCTTCGCTGCTGTAACTTCTACCATTGCCTTTTAGCCCTTGGTTTGTAGTGACTCGGGAGTGAGATTTTAACAAATATAATCAAAAAATGTTGCAGATGACAATAGTGCTAAAAAAGCGTGAGCGAAGAAGTGAGCATAGTTTGGTGTGCGTGCACGTGAGGCAGGACCTGTCGGTGCTTCGCTTGGCTCTGGCTGTGCCCGCCGCTTCCTGGGGGGCGGAAAAGCAGCTATTTTGTGTGTCTCCAACCAAACTGGATTAAAACCAGCAGCTTAATCTGATCCTTGTTACACTTGAGAGAGGCAGAGCATCCCAGGCCAGATTTTCTGCTCATGTAGGTGAGCAGGTTTTCTACCAAGGCAGTAAATTCCTTAACAGATGTGGTTTGCTGCTGGTTTATGAAGGAGAAGGAATATGGGGAAAAGGAGTTCAGGGAGGAGGAAGAGGAGAGGAGGGAAACAAAGGAGCAAGCAAGCACAAAGTAGTTTTTCTGTTGGTTTCATTTGTATTGGATGCCAGAACTGGTAAATGTGAAAGAACAGATTTTATTGCTGGGAGAGCGGGGCACGGTCTCCCCTGCTGGAATGGTGCTTTCAGCTTTCTATTGGCAAATCTTCGGTAAAGGCTTTTCCCATCTACAAAGTGAATTGGCCGAGTGCTCGGACACAGTTTGAGCCTGGCTGCATCCCTTAATCCTTGCAAAGATGCCTGTAAAATCAAGCAGAGGGGGTTGCAGCACCTTGGCACCGGGACTACCTCTCCGCCAAGCTGCTGTCGTTTCCTGCGAGCACTCTCAGCCTGCAAAATCAAGCATGTTGGTGTAAACAGCCTCCCTGACTTACGATAACAATAATTATCGTTGTTTATTTGCTTTTGAGATAGTTCAAGATATGTAGAGATACTGCTGAGAAGGCAGAAATGCCTCATGCTCGCATTTCTTCTCTTTGCTAAAAAAGACGGGCTGTGCTCGGACGGCAGCTGGAGCTGTGGGTGCCCTGGCATCACTGAGCGCTGGGTGCTGCAGGGGGGGTGCCCGTTGGAAACTGCTTAAAATCTTGGAGTCGTAGCAGCATCTTGAGAGCACCAAGGGCATCTGGGATGTTGCTCCTATCCCATCTCTTGCAAAATAGCACCTCTAAGTAGCAAAAAAAGAGAGGAGTTTGGGGAGTTATGCCCTAAAATGCTTATCTAATCCTTGGGACAAAGTTAGCAGGTAACAGGCCCTGTCCAGCTTGTGCTGCTCAAGAAAAAAAAATGCCCCAAACTAATTTCAGTGATTATCCCCACACCATGAAGCGTAATTAATTTGAGGGTCCAGGGGGCTTAGTCTCACCATCAAGTCCAATTTGGTGCCTCTGTGAGCGGAAGGGGAGCGAGGCCCCCGTGTTTCCGACAGCATCAAGCTGGGAGCAGCACTGAATGCTCGGGAAGGCAGAAGTGGGATTGGGAAGGAATTGTGGCAGGTTGTGGGAAGGGCTGGGAAATTGCCTGTTGTGTTTTGGTTTTTTTTTTTGTAAGTGTAGATGCTAATTGCAACAGAGCTGCGTAAATACAGGGGGAGCAACAGGCTCTGCGGTAACGACCTGGGGCTTCTGATGCTTCATGAAGCAAAGATGTGTCGGCAGCATCGCTCTTTTATGAAAAACACACGTGTCACGTCGGGCTGGATGAAGAGTTGGGCGTAAAAGGCCACAAAGCTCCCCTTGCACTTGACACTCAAGAGGTTCCAGCTGCAATATTGTCTCCTGTTTGTCCACAGCTCCCTCGGAAGCTAAATACTGCCGAAGCCGCCTGGTTGTTTCCTAACATGGAAGAGCAGCGGTGCTGCAGGACTCTGACCTACGAGAAGAGCTGAACCTGTGCACGTCACGCAAATAAAACACGAAATACCAGGCTAGTGTTGCTGCCTTGGCCATCGAGAAAAAGCGTTGAATGGTAGTGGTGATGCAGAGGACCTAGTCAGGTGCTTCAACGGCATTTGTTGGCGGAGATGATCATGGGTTGGGAAAGGCAGAGCTGAAGTTTTGGAGGACCCGTAGCATTGGAGGGAGGCAGCTGAGCCAGTCTGTGTCCAAGGGAGACGGCCTCAGGACGCTGCGTGGAGGCTAAGCCGGGATTCGGAGCTGTGCCCATGGCTGGATGGGAGTGAGTCGTCTGTATTCAATTAAAAATTGGAGCGGCTCCTCTGTGTGAAGAGAGGAAGAGCTTTTCTTCTC